TCTATGTACTTCAGGCTTCCAGACCAGAAGATGGTTTTTACCTTGCTCTGCCAGTTGGTGTTGTAGGATCTGTTGTAGACAGTGTAATCAACTGACCTAAAGCTCCAGGGTTCCACATCCATAAAATGGGGGTATGTGGTTTTCCAGGAATGCAAAGCACTTCTGTGCAATTGGACCTAAAAAAATCCCTATTCTAATGGATACACTGTAATTCAAAGCTATTGATTGGTAAGAATCCTTCATTCCTCCTCCCAAGTCCACCACAGCATCAAGGCCCTAAAGCACACGAAGACCAGAGGTGATCTCTCTTTACTATGAATTCTTCTTTGCAATTCTGTATTTTGTTTACCTAATTTTTGAATATTTTGGTATCTTCCAAAGGAAGCCCTTACCCATCAGCACTTCCCTTAACCCCCAGGGAATGGGTCATCTACTTTCTGTCTTTATAGATCTGCCTGTTCTGGAGGCTTCCCATCAATGGATTTATAGAGTGTGTGTGGCATTTCTTGTTTGGCTTCTCTCACTTAGCACGATGTTTTCCAAAGTCCATCCATGTTGGAGCTTCGTGTACCAGTGCTCCATCCTTTTATGACTGAGTAATATTTCGTAGTGCGGACAGGGACAGTGGGTTTCTCTGTGCACTTGCATGTGCACATCTGCATTGTTTCCTCCCTTTGGCAAATGTGAGACCTGATGCTATATCTGTGTACAGGTTGCTGCGGGGACACATTTCCATTCCTCTCGGGTACAAACCTGGGAGCAGAACCGCTGAATTAGAAGACAGCTCCATGCTCAACTTACTGAGGAGCAACCAGAATATTCTGTCACACAGCTGTATTCACTTTACATTCCCATCAGCACTGGATGAGGTCCCAATTTCTCCACACTATCTCCAATGCCTGCTGTCTGCTTTGTAAGTAATAGCTGCTCTAGTATCTCAGATGGTTTTGATTTGTATTTTCTTACTAACTGATGATGCCAAGTATCCTTCCGTGTGTGTGCTGGCCATTGTGTATTTGTTAGGAGACATGCCTAATTAAATCCTTATCCTATTAAAAGATGGGGCTGTCTCCTTCTTATTGAGTTACAGAAGTTCTTTATATATGCTGGATACACGCCCCTCATCAGATAGATGATTTGAAAACCTTTTTTCCCATTCTGTAGATTGTCTTCCTTTTCTGGATGGTGTTCACTGAAGCACAAACTTTAAAAAGAGTAGTCTTCGTTAAACCATATTTTGGGGCCGGCGCTGTGGCATAGCAGGTAAAGCTGCCATCTACAGTGCCAGCATCCCATATAGGCGCCGGTTCGAGTCCCGGCTGCTCCACTTCTGATACGGCCCTCTGCTATGGCCTGGGAAAGCAGTGGAAGATGGTACAACACCTTGGGTCCCTGCACCCACAAGGGAAGACCCTGAGGAAGCTCCTGACTCCTGGCTTCGGATCGGCACAGCTCTGGCAGTTGCAGCCAACTGGGGAGTGACCCAGCGGATGGACTTCTCCCTCCCTCCCTCTCTCTCTGCCTCTCCTCTCTGTGTGTAATTCTTTTTTTTTTTCTTTTGAAAGATTTTATTTATTTGAAAGAGTTAAAGAGAGAGGTAGAAACAGAGAGAGAGGTCTTCCATCTGCTGGTTCACTCCCCAGATGGCTGCAATAGCCAGAGCTATGCTGATCTGAAGGCAGGAGCCAGGAGCTTCTTCCGGGTCTCCCATATGGGTGCAGGGGCCATTTTCTACAGCTTTCCCAGGCCATAGCAGAGAGCTGGATCGGAAAAGGAGCAGCTGGGACTAGAACCGGCACCCATATGGGATGCCGGCATTTCAAGCCAGAGCTTTAACTGGCTATGCCACAGCGCTGGCCCCATAACTCTGACTTTCAAATAAATAAATAAATCTTAAAAAAAATTTTCACTGATGTGAAATTTGGCAATATGCCACGAATATACACATCCAGGTGATGAATCATTCATTTTCATTCAACAAATACAATTACTGAGAAAGGTATTTTGAGATAAGAAGCGATCATTTTTCTTCCTCTGTTTATCCCTTTATTTCCCCACACTCAGGCAGAAGGTAGGCTTCTGGGTCCAGAAGAGGCTTATAGCAGGCAGTATCCTGGCTTTTGTTTTCCCAAACACCTAAAGTTTGGAACCACAGATATCTAAGGGAACTAATTATGTCACTCAAAGAATAAGAGAGCTGGCTTTTCACCCTCTTCCAGAGTTCACAGGCACTACCTGGAGGTAATGGGAGAAGAAGAATGAAGAGAGTACCAACCCAGGGCGGGTAACCCGGTCTGGCAGACGTACTGCGGAGACAAATGGCTATGGGTGCATTTAATACTAGAAGCATCTCCAGCCCAGATCTCACAACTCAAGTCTGGCAAACCACGATGGTTTGTCAGGACAGGAGCAACATAGCAACAAGCAACCAAACATCAGACGTGATACCCCTTATGGCCCTCCTGGACACTGTCCTGAATGACAATTTGCCATGCAATGAGGGCACTTGTCCAGAATTGTAACATACCCCAAAGCAGCAAGGAGCAACAACAAAACCCAAGGCTGCAAAAATGGCAACTCAGAGTCAGAAATTGGATTGCTAGGATAGAGTTGTATTTCCTGTACCCTTGATTTCATAGACTCACATTCAAACTTGCCAAACGAATACTGTTCTGTGCAATGCACAAAGCATCTGGCTAGCCTAAGTCGGTGTGGGGAATATCAAAGTCAGTCTAGCCATAGACAGCCAAGGCATTTATAGTCTCAGAAGGGCAAATCGGAATAATGTCAGTTGCTATCTATACCACGCCACCTGCATGCACACCTAGTGCTACATTCTCTGTAGATGGATCTCATTTAACTGAGTCTTCCTCACAACAGGCACCTGAGACTCAGAGGTTCAGGGTGGGTACGGCATCTGCTCGAGGATAACTGGCTAGTATTCAGTGGGACACGGCCATGACCAAGGGTACACCTAACTCCAAAGCTGACTTTAAGTCTTGAGGTTATGGGTCCCTCCCATCAACAAGCCACCTGAGTACTGTCCTTTGGTAACTAAATATACACTGGACTTGGATTTTGGCTTTTTTTTTTTCCTAAGAGCTGGGATGGAGTCTAGTCTAACCAACCTTCTATAACTTGGGGTTCAAGGTACCCATGGCAGAAGCCTGAGGCTTGACAGCAGGTATCAGTCAAATGCTCCACTGACCAGGGGACCCACAGCCTTGACTGTATCTGTCAAAGTGTGCCCACCAGGTCCTCTGAACAGGATACTGGTTACCATTCACGCCATCTGTGCATGCATCCAAGAAGTAACATAATCGATAAAAAAAAAAAAAAGACACAACTTTTCTACCCATGTGCAAACAAAAAGAATGTGGTTACGAACAAAATGGAAATTTTTCTTATAGGAGAAAATCTCAGCTTTGTGATGCAGGCACTCAACTTGGCGCCTAGGAAAGTATTCAAAATTCTTGCCTGAAGCATCTTAGAAACAATAAAAGGAAAATAAGTTGATTCTGGCCAATGAAATGCTTTTCCTTAAGCATTAATCTACTGAACAAATGTAGAGAATGAAGAAATAGAAACATAAATGCTTCAAGCAAGCCATGACTTCTAATTTTTTTTTTTTCTGCTGCTGCTTCAGCTATCTCAACCTGGGCAAATGACTAAACCAAATCTCAAATCCTAAAAAAGAGAAGTATATGGAGACCTAGAAAACACAGAGAAGCTTGAACTACAAGAGAATAGCATCTCTTCTTTTGTGCTCCCTTAGGAAGAATAAATCTCTCCTGCTTGGGTCCTATAACCATTTCACTTCCATTTTCTTGTATACAGGCTCAACTTCAGAGCCCAGCACCCTGAGACACCATTTTGTCCGGTATCCAAGCTTGTAAATGGGAACATTTGAGATTCCAAGAGGTCAAGTGACTTGTTGAAGCTCACGTACTCACTGGAACAAATAATATTAACACTTCAGCTAGGTGGGAAAGGTAGCAGCCCGGGACGGGGTGGGGGACTTGGAATCTCCTTCTCACTCAGCCACTAAGGAGCCTCTGTGTTTGTAACAAGTCAGTATTGGACTGGATGGTTTCCAAGACCTTTCCCTTGAAGGGGCTCTCCTTCTGTCTCTCGAGTTCATAAATTCCGGGGCTGTCTCTGCAGTTGTGATGCCATGGCAAGTTATCTGCAGTGTTTTAGGGGTGGGCTCCACAGGTAAGACTCTGCCTTGTGATCCCAGATCTCACACTTGCTGTGTGTGGTCAAGGCATGAATGAACGAACCCCTCCAAACCTCAACTGCAAAACAGAGGCTGGAACAGTAGGAAGGGCAGAGCATAGCATCCCAAGGGTGACACTGAGTAACACGTCAAGGCAGTTGCTCCGTGCCTGGCACACAGCAGGTGCTTTGTCAACTATTCCCACAGAGCCACCAACCAGAGTTGGGAGTGATAAACAGCAGTCTCTCCTCTGGACTAAGGCTCCCATCAAAGAATGATCTCATTCTCTACAGCTCTGTGTCTGGCTTTAAACAAAGAAACAAAGTAACCACTTTCCATCCTCTCTTGCTGACACTGACAGCAGGAGCTCTGTAGCTCAGGGAGGGGGTGGGGGCTACTTAGAGGGCAGGAACACTTTTGTGCTTTCTCTCTTCCTTTTCTTTCTGCCTGGAATGCAGAAGCAGTGTCTGGGGTGCTAGCAGCCTCTTGTGATCATGAGGGAAGATGCAAAAAATTTTCAGAGTCTCAGTCCTGGAGCCAACAGATCAGTGCCAGCAACCACCGACCTCTAGACTTCTTGTTTCACAAGAAAAATAAATTTCTACTTTTTTTTTTTGCTATCACTATCAAAACACAATTCCTAATCAAGAACTTTTCTAAAATCTATTCCTCCTTCCCGTCAATGAACATTTGCAGGTCTGCTTGGTCAGCCTTATGCCCCTGGCCACTTAGGGGTCCTAAGACAGGTGTTCATTAGCTGCCACTTCACTTTCCACCAACAATGTCCAGAACTGTCCTCAAGTGCCTTGCTACTCAGTGGGGTCAGTAGACCAGCAAAGAGAGTGTCACCCAGGAGAAGTGCCCAAGCTCAAGTTCATCCCCAGCCAACTGAATTGGACTCTACATTTTGACAGGATCCCCCAGTGACTTCTGTGCACAACATTTGAGGCTCTGGACAAGACTTCCAGACCTTGCTCCGTCATCCCTCTTAAACACGGCTGCCCAGTCTTCCAGGAAGCTTGGCTCCAATCACCACCACCTTCCCTCTCCAGAGTCTTCAAGGGCTCCTGATAGCCTACAGACTACAGCGGACACTTCTTAGGCTGACAATTGAGAGGTCTCCATGATCTTGCATTGCCCTAGAGACGCCCATCCAGGCGCCTGCCAGCAATGACTACTTCTCTGCAGAAAAGACAGGTGTGCCTGAGAAACGACACATTCCTCAGTTCTGGCTTTACCATGCCCCTCATCAGGGACACAGGGGTACAGATAAACCAGACCTGGTGTTTCGCCTTTTAAGGAACTTAGAGACTAGTTAGAAGGACGGGGGTGCGCGGGGTCGGGTGGGTGGGTGGGTGGGTGTTAAAGGAACTTAAATGAATAACAAGTAACAGCTGCTAAGAGGGACAGGCACAGAGGGCAGTGAGACTGGTCGGAAGGCTGGCGCTAAGGACAGGGAGTTTGTCGTGTAAGGGGACCAGGCACAGTCGAAAGAATTGGGTGCGTCGGAGGATGCGCACAGGGACGAGTCCCGGGCTCACCCAGAATACGGAAACCCCCTGGAGGAAGCGGGCACAGGGATCACCTTCCAAGTCCCTTTAGAGAAAATGCTGAAGAGACCCTCTGGCACATGTCTTCACAGGGTCACTGGGGCACGCGGCGCAGTGGCGCCCTGAGCGGAGCCCTTGGAAAAGCAGGCCAAGTGGAACGCAATCCCAGCCCCGCCACTTCCCGGCTCTCAACTCCCTTGACCCCCCAAACCCGTGCTTCCTCCGGCGCGGAGCGGGGCGAGAACAGAATCAACTTTGCAGCTGCTGTTGAGGGTGCTGCTGGCTGGGCTCGCCGCACGCTGTCGCCCTCAGCGGCGCCCCCCAGGAGCGGAGGGCTTTTGTGATCAGGGTGATGGTGACCACGGCTAATAAGGATCAGTTTTCGGCAGAAGCCTCGGCCCCACAAATCACTGTCCCCCCGCCCCAAGAGGCCTCCCGACCCTGCCATCCCAGGCAACCTCCCCCGCACGTTGCCACCGTGACCCCAGCGCGGGCGCCGGACGCCGCCGCCGGACCCCGGTTACCTGGGGCCAAACGCGACTGGTCGCCGCCACCTGCGTCCTGGGCCCTGCCTCCCTCCCGGCCGGCCGCCTCCGGCCCCGCAGCT